AGTTGCTCCGAATTAAGGGACAATAACACTAGAATTCGAAACTACATTGAACACGAATCAATTCCGCTCGAATTTAGAAATTTCGATCATTAGGTTAGCTTCGGCAAGTTATTTGAGCTGAATATCTGAATTTCTGATTATTTCTTCGAACAATCTTTCAGGAATTCTTGAAAGAGGTATCAAACGTCTGTGGCGCACCTCTTACAATTAAGAATATTTCAGTAGCAGTTGACACTATGTTTGTTGAGGTGATTACTTTCTCGACTTTATACGATTAATTCACTCATAAACCACTGATTCACCAAGCGTTGGTTCGCCGTCGATCGTTTACAGAGATCGCTTTGAATTTCGAATTCAAAAGTTGATAAAACTTCTGACTTCGTCATATTTATTTCCATGAGATATGATATATTTGAAGTATAGAATTCCTAAGAAATACGGAAAAATAAGTGAAAAAACATAGAAATGTTTCAATAGTTTGTGGTTTGAATAATCTCTGTTAACTGTTGAAGCTACAACACAATCGAACACCAATCTTCAATCAAAAGCAATACGATCAAATGATCCGAATCGATAGCTTCATGAACGACTTCTTCGATGGCCTTCTTAGTTAGCAACTACCTTACTGCGCAAATTTCTTTGCCTACTTTGAAATTGTCACGAGGATTTGATAAGGTGTTGGTGATCAGTTGGAAATCGAAAGGATGCAAATGCTCATTGACATGCTCTGATATTTATCCACTTTTTTAATGCTTTCGATTTGTTGATGACCGAGAAAACTGGTCTGAAGAAGAAACTATTCCATATAATTGCATTAATTTCATCCTGGATTTACGCTGGAGCATTTTATTTAGACTCGGTAAACGATACCTTTCACGGTTATAACCTACGAGTGGACTTGGCGACAATTGCAGGTGGAAATTTGTTGTGGGACATGATTCACAGAATGCAGGAAAAGGTATCAGGGAGTTCCCGTGCCTATGTCGTCACTCATCTATTCGCTTCTGTACTCTAGATTTCCTCAACCTCTGAATTGCTGAATGAATTGAGGAAGATGAGAGCAATTTAGCTTTAAACAGTCCCAAGTTGCCATTCTAAATCGCGTTAATAGCGTGCAAACGATTGTTTCTATGGTCTTCATAAGCGTATTTTGCAGATCAAATGTTCTCAATTGACGAACATCAACAAAACGGAATGTGCATGGATCCGAGACCTTAAATACTACGCATATTCCACGGTAAGTTCGGACATAATCTCACTGAATTATTCAGCCTCGCACGCTGTCGAATCTAATATTCATTCGTATTTTGAAAACTTTATGAAGGGCTGGGAAGTGCGGAATCTCTGCTCATGAGGTGCGCAGTGCTCTTGATTGGTTTGATACATACATAATGGATATGAATTACTATATTGTGATGTTATGCCATCAACTGAATATACTGAAAGTAGATGATGATAAGCAGTAATGATAATACGAATGTTATGTTCAGCGAGGCTCAACACTTAACGGTTTTCTGGCTGCTTTGGATGCAGCCGAAGTGTATCGTCCGGACGAAGTGCGCTTTGGATCGGCTATCATCGTGGAACTATGGCGCAACGAAAATGCTCAATATGAGATCATCGTAGGTGCATTCTGATCATCTCATCATCACTAACTGAGAATGGCTTGAGCAGATCCGATCAGATCCGACCCTCGATATATTGACCTTTCAGACCTTTCTTCAAGTGTTTTTCTGGAAAACAAAATTTGCGAACTCTGATTCCGTTTAAGCCAGCATTTAACGGTGAAACAGGGAAGCGACTGTACCAAAATGGTGAAATTCAAAGATGAACGATTATGAGTACTGATAAAGCAGATCGTTATGTGACAAGGAGATCACATGCAGACTGGCTAGCTTACAATTAGACGGGAGCTTGCACTCTTCCAGATGTGAATGCTAGCTATACAGCCCAGGTCTTGGATTGATGTCCTCTTTCAGGTACGCTTCCGGGAAAAATCATTTGGTACAGAGCTGCGCAACGTCACAAAACTTGTCGGAGGTTCACAATCTTACAATTAATTTCTTTCTGTTCAATAGTCATTGTGCATTCGCTTTTCTATCTCTTGGCTGAAGGCTTTCTTTATGTTCTTCTGAGCGCAGAACTACCAGTTCGGAAATCACTGGCAACCAAAATGATATCTTGAAGCTGTTTCAAGTTTATATTTATGGCTTTTCGAAACTTTTATCTCGTTACAAGTGCATTCACAAACTCCGAAAGAGTGACATTCGTGATCTTCGTGATCTTTCTTTGACCTTCTTGATCTATTGGCATTCAGAGAAAAAGTTTATTTTTCAGTATGTGGACGAAAGGTGGCATGTTCATGGAATGACTTCGTTGCTGGTTCTGAAACTTACAATCCTGGTGATTTTCAAAAGGTTCTCAATGTCAAAATCGTAATTATTTTATGACTAACGTTCGTCTGGTATTTCATAAGATAGCGATCATATCCGACTTTCATGAAAAATTACTAGTCGACCTCTCGTTTGGTCTTACAAAGCCAATTTTTTTTAATGTTGACGCTCCAGCTCTCCTCATCTACTAGGATTCCTGACACTCTTTACGCAGATATTATTACATCATCATTAATGTTATCGTGAGTGTCATTTCAGTATTGCGCTAAACGGATCTCTCCAATAAATTCAACCACAACTCCCGTGTCAACAACAACCACAACTCCCGTGTCAACAACAACAACCACGAGTGGCACTTCAAGCAAATCTTTTTCGCTCCTGTCACTTGGTAGCTACTTTTTAGCTAGTCTAATAATTAATTTTTCTGTTACTGAGATCGCTCGTCAAAATAATGACGAGAGTCGTTCCTAGCGCATGTGACATTAGGAATTTACGACTAATTCATGAGATAAGTCCTTGTGACATGCACAAACGAAGAATTTCGGGCATTCATTGCAGTCAGCATTGCTGTGCGTAATTATCCGACAATTTTGAAGAATGCCATCTGATTGGTTCCGGTTCGTAGCTTGTGCTCGTGATAGACAATATTCAATGCAACACATGCTCAAATCATATCCAGAACACAATAGGGTTTCAGTATTTCATTGAATTATTCCATAGAAGTTTCAGCAACGAGATTTGTTGGTGCGATCGTGACGAAATTACTCGGTTCATATTTGTTTTGATGATTGGCAGTAACTGACTACGCTGTGATCAAGTATCATTTGAAGACAACGATGAGACAATCGTGTGGCATCCATTTGACTTGTGCATTCATTTTTTTCGTTTTCATCATGGATTAAGTTATGGCCTCGAAACTTTCTTGATCGCGATAGGTGAACCAGCAAAACCACTCATTTTAGAGCATTCAACCCCTAAAAACTGAGTTGTATCTATACTGAACCCATCGATATTGATATTACAATAAGGAGAAGAAGTATTCAGACAATTCACTATTAGTTCATACGTAAAACATAAGTATTGCTGTGCCTTATTCATGTGCGGGATTTTAGCTTTGTTATGTCTATCATTGGATTTATATCATGTGCTACAGTTTTATGTTATGCTCTGAATCAGTGGTTCTCACGTTCGGGTTCTCCATTACCCCTTTTGATGATCTAGCGGGCCGTCGTTACCCTCCACCCCTGACATAAGAACCTACTATTTATGCAAACGGAATATGGTCCGGAAATTCCTCAGCGTCGTGAAAAAAATCACTTTAATCTAATTAAACAAGTACTTTTTAGAACTACATTCATCCATACCACCAAATTGCTCAAAAGGGGTAATTTCATCCCCTATGAGAACCGCTGTATCAGACCGTTGTATTGCTAATTACTGCAATCGATTATGATTGCATGACACGCTCATTCCAAACTGATTCAAATGGATTCTCATTCTTTTCAGACGTGTTCTATTCGCTCTCATAGCTATTGCATGTGAATATCGTTCTCTTCATGACTTTCTATCATTCACTTCGTTTCATTTCATTTCACAGTTCGAATCAACTTCTTATTCTGTAGCATACACTATTTACTGGGTGTGCTGACGAGTGTTGACAGCCGAAATCAACAATACAACAATCGAATNAGAGTGTATCTGATAGAATGAGAATTTGACTTTAACTATTGAGTGAAGTGAATGAGAAATTAGCAGAAGAGAACGCTTCTGGTAATAAAAGTTATGAGAGCGATTGCAACAGCAAGGAAAAGAATGAAAATTCTGCTAAAACAAATCAAAACCCTGACGAGCTAATGGTACTCAGAAAATAGGAGAATGATGAGTTTTACCGTCAACCGCATTTTAGCCGCATTTACATACCTGGATCAAAAAAAACGCCATCACAATGGCGTTCTATTATAACGCAACAATTGTACGAAATACTAGTTTCCTGACCCCCCTCCAGATCTCCAAATTACCCAAAATGGCTAATTTCACCCCCTACTTATCCAGTAATGCGATGCGGCATTACAGATCAATTATGTGATTTGATGATCAGATAATATTGCAATTCATCTGTAATATTGAATAAAATGGCTTTAAACACCTTATCGATATTAATCGCCTCGTATTGTTTCATTTGGAAAAAATTTTTTTTGTCGCAGAATTCATGTCCAATCAGAAGATGCAATGTATTCTGTGTTAGTTGAAAATGGTGAATTGTCAAGTGAACGTCTTTAATGACACAAGTTCACAATGCTCTAGTTCATACACGAAATACTGCTTGATGCTCGTAGAAGTGAATTTTTTCTGAAGTTATACATTCTAGATTCCTCTGGAAACTGTGAACATTATCTTTTGCTACCGTAGATTATCAAACTTTTTAAGATTTATCAAATCAGAAATTGTTCAGTGTATTACATTCGAGCATTCGTAGGTGAGGAATTGAAGATACACAAATTATTCGCAGCTGAATAAAGAATGAATTGTGTATGGCATCATAATGACTGTATGAGATCATTGTTCTGGATATGATTTGGTGTCATACATTCGACAGTAATGTAACTGAGGAGGATGAGGCATCGAGGCCGTTAGAGGTCCTTGATTGGCGTGAGTTGACGCTCAGGTAATCCATTCGAGCCGTACTTTTGACAACCAATGACGAAGACCTGAAATGAAACAGACGACTGCTCTGAGACTGAGCTAGCATTCGAATCCGACTCCAGCTTATCATCATGGCTCAAGAACCGCAAAATATGTCACATATAAATCAGAAAGGATATTTCTCTAAGCTCTAATCAGTTTTTATTGAGACTATCATCGAAATTTTTGCTACATCCTAGTGTTGCAAATCAATTCAGTAGCATTTTGATCAATATAGATATTTATACAATAATAAGTTATACCTGTCATTAGTTAACGGTCGAGATGGAATACTAGCAGATGCTTCATTCTGGACCGGCATCCTGCAATAAAAAGGCGTTTATTTTTTCAAATCAAAACAAGCAATCAATCAATCAATCAAAATTTGAGCCATGAAAGCAAATTTCGATTGGAGATGAGCAGAAATGTATGGCACCTTAACAGGTATTTGGTGGTATGCACCCGAAACTGATCATATTGTGACGTGTACACAAACGTCTACCTATAAGTATGGATAATTGTTACCTGATCAGTTCGTCCGATGTGGCAATAGAGGTGGTCCTTCTTCCTCGTCTGAAATGTTCACATCTTACAATTAGAAAGGGAATGGAACGTAACCAATCATGCAGGAATTGCAGTGGAACAAAAAAGAGATTGAACAGAGTAGATTTCGATTGATGATTATTTTGTTGAATTTTCTCAGAACAACAGCGAACTTGAAGCATAAGAGATAAGAAACGAACACCCTGTGTTGAAAAGATGGGCAACGCGAAGGTATTTGCGGTGGAACAAGTGATAGTTGTGAAACGGCACGAGACAAATTCGGGGTTATGGTCCGGCTGGGTACGGTCAGATGGGCTGACGACATACGATGAGTGGACGAAACACATGAGCCAGAACGACCCTGAGAGCGATACTCGTCACTCAGCTGCAATTCAGGAACAACTAATTCTCAGCGCATCATT